AGAGAGAGAGAGAGAGAGAGAGAGAGAGAGAGAGAGAGAGAGAGAGAGAGAGAGAAGAGGGAGAGAATGAATTTGGCCTTCAAAACTCTGAAAGCACAGAGCTGTCAAAGTACACAGTCACCGTCTAAAACCACACCACACGTGATGGAGAGACAGCTGCACTAAGACACTAACTCTACAGCTACTTTGTGCCAGTAGTCAAGTGCTCTAAGGTTATTACCTTATTTAATCTGAATTGAGATGTATTCCTGCCATCACCTCCACTTTACACATGGGTAAACCAAGGCACAGAAAGGTCAACTTCTCCAAGGGCAACTGTCTCCCTAAGTGACAGTCGGGGCTGGACCCAATTCCAGAGAGCTGTAAGCCTCAGCACACCCTGCTGGCCAAACACACTAGGTAATCCCCCTTTTCCAGGCCTTTGCCCAGACCATTCACTCCAGGGAATGCTGAGTGCTCCTTCCCTTTCTTCCTCCCACACCCTGTTCAGAAACTCACATTCTTTTGAGCTACTGACAAACAAGGGCAAGAAGTTATCTGGAGTAGGGGCTCAAAGAGAAGACAAACAAGTATTTCTGGGCCATCTCTAGGCAGGAGGCATTGACGTGCAAGTCCTTTGTGGCCGCTCAGGGACCTAGGGTGACAAGCAAGAGTATTTGCAGCAAATCCTAGCATGAACCTATCTACGTGTGGGGACCGTCATGCACAGACAGAACTGGGCCAGGCCTGTGCTAAGCCTCTGTCAGCATCCTGAGCTGGTCTGCTGGTGGTTCAAGACTCTGGACCCAGCCCTGGCAGAGTCATAGCCTGAAACAAGATGCAATCAAGGCTGGATAAAGGCAGGCCAGAGCACAAATAGGGAGAAGAATGATGCTTTAGAATCAGTTGAGATGAGAAGATGTTTGGGGACAGAAACTAACAGCCAACTCCCGAGAGCTTTGTATTTAGCCTTCTCCTTCTCAGTAATTGGCTGCATTATTTATTTGGGCCAGTGACTGCTTCATGTGGTTTTCAGAAGAACGGTGATGGGCTTTTAAGGTTTAGTGAGACTGCATTTAGAGACATAAGCAAAAATCATTAGATAAATTTTTAATCATGAAGTAGACACCACATTCCTGTGCCTGGGAGCAACTTAAAGGGTGAGGGGGCTGAGAAGCCCAAAGTGTTAACCCAGCAGTCACTGCTGTCTTCACTGGTGCACAAAACACGGGGCTCGGCTTACATGTCCTCTCTTCCCTGTCTCACCTCCCCATGGCCCTCCTGACACTTGGAGGAAAGCCCCTCAGGTAGACCCCCCCCCCCCCCCAGAGTGGAGTTGAAATCTCCAATACCAAGGTACTTGCTCCACACAGATTATTTCTACCTCCATGTCCCTGGGGTTCAAGCACATAAAAAAAAACAGGAACAGCAAAAACCAAACCTGAACCTGCTGTGGCTGAGCAGCCCCAACCTCTCAGGTCAATGCTCCACCTCTGTGTTGCCTGACTCCTCACTCATATGCTTCCTACTAGAGAAACACTTACAGGTAGTCACTAAACATTCTTTTCTTTCCTCCTTAAAGGACTCTAGACACACACACACATAGGCTGTATGCAGTCGAGTCAGCCTTTGTAAGAGGCAAGGGAGCACTGAGGGTAGAGAGAGATGGGCCTACCTTGGGAGAGGCACTGGTTGGCCAAGGCGACCTGACCAGAGTGCAGGTAGAGGTTGAGGCGTGTGAAGATCCCCACCAGGGAGGGGATGGTGATGAAGCAGTAGGCAACACAGGCCTAGAAAAGGGAGACACAGACAGTTAATCAATAGGCCTATGTTCACCCAGCACGTGCCTTCAAATACAGGCACAATACTTAATCCCTCTGTTCCTCCCATTTCCCCATCAATCCCCCAGAGTTCTTCCTTATTGTATCTGATGACCTTTGGGAAGGCGGAGAGGAAAATACGATGCTTTGAAAAACAATTCTTCACCTCTCACTGCAGTTAGTGCATAGATAATGCCTAGCATGGGCAAATGAAGAAGAACCATTGAGAAACCAATTGCTCAGAAACATGCAGGTAAGCTGAGGAGGCGGCTGACCCTCAGAACAGAAGCGAGAGGTAGAAGGGGCAGGGCTGGGATGCCAGTATCTCACTATGATCAATTTGGCATGGTTTCATTTTAAAGATATGGACATGTATTGCTCTAATACAGCTCTGAGTTAATATACTCAAGAAGTTGCAATTTGGGACTGGAGAGATGGCTCAGGGGTTAAGAGGCCTGATTGCTCTTGCAGAGGACTTAGGTTTAGTTCCCAGCACCCACATGGTGGCTCAACCGTCCATAACTCCAGTTCCAGGAGATCCAACATCTTCTGACCTCCATAGGCACTGCACGACACGGGTACACTTACACACATTCAGGCAATACACTCATACACATAAGATAAAAAAATAAATATTTTTTAAAAAAAGAACCTGGAAGTTTCAAACTTGAATATACCAAGAGGAAAAAATAGAGCGTAGGTCTTCCAATTAAGGGCATGTTAGTATTATATAGAAAGTGATATTGTTAGATCTTTTTTAAAAATTTTTATTTATTTAATTTTAAATTTTTATGTGTATGCATGTATTGTCTGCATGTAGGTAAGTACACCCATGTCACGCAATGCCTGCGGAGGTCAGAAGAGGCTGTCGGATCCCCTGGGACAGCTGTTAGCTGTCACGTGGGTGCTGAGATTTGAACCTGGGTCTTCTGCAAGAACAGTCAGTGTTCTTAACCACTGAGCCATCTCTCCAGCCCCCGAAAAATCTCTTATAATAATATATTACAGAAAATTAGAGGGACTCAGCTAACACAAAACCATTTCTCAACTACATCAAAACACTGAGAGAGAAGACACCTCATCCAAATGCTTGAAACCAGAAATGTTTCCAGTTTCCAAGATTTTTCGATTTTGGAATATTTACATACATAATACATAGTAAGATATCTGACAGAGGGGACCCCAAGTTTAAACACGAAATTCATTTATGATTCATATGCGCTTTATACACACAGACTAAAGGTAACTGTATATAATCTTTTTAATAACTCTGTGCATGAAATACTTTCCTAGTATGGAATTTTCCATTTGTGGTATCAATGATAGTACTTAGGAAGTTACCAATCTTGGAATATTCTGGATTTGGGGATTGGAGATATTCAATTTGTATTAAAATCCAGGCTCCTTGGATCATTTCTTTTGAAAACAATACAAAAACGCTAGCCCAGATTCTCATGGAAAAATGAATCTGAAAAATCAATCCCAAGGCTCCTTATTGTGATATCCTTCTCTTTCTCTGGGAGCAGCAATTTAGCAATGAGCAAACTCAACAGCCTCCTGAGTTCAAAGACCTTCAAACATACCCGAACAAATGCAGCCGTCTTTCTGGAGTGATTTCCTTTCATGACTTTTCTTGTTTCCATGGCCAACCGGTTCACACTCTGAATTTGTGAAGAAATGAAACAGAATGGTAATGAAATGCTCATAACCCACAGTAACATCTTGCACAGAGATTAGGATGCAGATTCCACATACTCAAGGCAAACAAGCTACTGGAACCAGACCCTGGGCTCCGGACCCTGAAATACCAAGGAGGTCAACAGGCCAGGTTAGGTCTTGGCTTGAACAAACATGTCCAAGATGACAGAACAAAAGATACTCGCTGGTTAGTCATGCCCACCAATGAGCATAACAAATGACCATTTTCTGGTTTAATGAATAGCCAGGGTTCATTTAACCCACTTCCAGAAACCCCACATTCTAAGCATAAGATCTTAGAGATCTAAGAGAAATCTCCAAATCTAATAATGGACATACAATGTAGTCATGCAATACTAATAGTAACAGCAGTAACTGTGGCTGTATTATTCAGCTGATATACACCCATTAGTATATTTGATGCTTACAGCACGAGGCAGGCACTATTACCTACCCCTATTTTATAGACAAAGTTCTACATTCAGGTCTTGGACTGATTTGTACAAAGACTAACCTAACTAGGAAATAAGTGCATACAATGTAATTTTTGAGGGCTGGAGAGATGACTCAGTGGTTAAGAGCACTGACTGTTCTCACAGAGGACCCAGGCTCATTTCCTAGCACCCACGTGGCAGCTAACAACTGTCTGTAACTCCAGTTCCAGGGGATCAGATGCCTTCTTCTGACCTCATCAGGTATTGCATGACACAGGTGCACTTATGCACATGCAAGCAATACATCATACGCATAAAATTAAACAAATAAATAAATGTGGTTCTTGACTAGATAGGAAGAAACTGAAAAGACCGATGAAAGCTTTGGTTTTCAAACTGTGCGCCATGCCACCCCTTGGGTGCCACAACAAATTTTCAGATTTTAAGGAACAGCAATTGTTGAACCCTGTGCAAAGACCTGGTGTGAGGCAGCTCATGACTCAATACTGGACTGAATTACATCCCTTGTAGCTACGAGCTGTTTGCCTAACTGGACTTTTGGCAGCTATGGTGGTAAAAAGCAAACACTGTGCAAAAGTAAATGTGGAAGGAAAAGAATCAATAAGGAGCAGAAAATAAGGGCAGCAGTGTGTGATCTGATTCCTCCAAGGCTAGGGAACTGAGCAGTGCCGATACGCACATACGCTTCATTAGTAACTACGGTTGTGTAAGTGGCAGGCTTCTGTTTCAGTGACTACAGGGATGGAGTACAGGACCTAGCACGCACTAAGGCCGATCACCGTGCTGCATACCCAGTCTATAAATATGTTATTCATGTTTGCTTCTTCTGATGTCAGCTCTGTTTTCTGCCTTTCGACTGAGTTGTCTAATCTTCAGAACAAATCATTTTACTACTTCTTTTGACTCAGGGGTGATCAAGTTTATTGGGAAATGAGCCAGGAAAGCAGCAGACCTCTGGTTAGGGAGCAAAGGACTCCAGGACATCATCTCTGTATATAACCAGTGGAAATTAATACATAACTCTTGTACTATCATGCAGAAATAAGAACATGCAAAGTTCTGAGAAAAAGAAATATTTTTCTAAGAGGAAAGAAAAAAAATCAATGAAACACAAAAAGAAAGGAAAAAAATTATTAAGATACCTCAAAGACTTAAGCAGAGTTGCAGATTTGACTAGTCTTTGAGAAACTACCTTTCCAACTCCCAGAGGATCACAGGGGCTGGAAGAGCCCACACTGAAAGCTGCTTGTGATGTACACATCTGAGATCCCAGCATTGGGGGCTAGAGGCAGGAGGATCAGGGGTTCAAGGTCAGCCTTGGCTACACAGTGAATTTGAGGCCAGCCCAGACTACATGAGATCTGTCTCAAAAATCTCAAAGAAGAATCTGAGACTGAGCCTGGTATGTGGCCTACTGATAACAAACAGTCACTCAAAGAGCAATGAACAAGAATGCTTACATGGATCAACTGTACAAGAACAGGTTCCAGATTGCAAAACATCGACCTGGACTCAACGTAAAAGCTGAGCTGCTGCTCAAAATCACGGCCAAAGGAAACCTGGAATCAAAAAGAAGGATGCTAAAAGGTATAATACTGGCACAATGTCATTAGCAGAACACAAGCAAGTATGCGTCTGTGCACAAGTGCACACACCCACACATACCCCACCCACTCCCTCTGACTACAAAGGCCTTATGTCACTTCACCCCATGTAGACCTGAAATATTATTCTGAGCAGCCCGGCTTTGTGACAAGGGCATTGGAAGAGCACCAGCAGACACAGGGTATAAAACAGGAGCTCAGCACAAATAGGATTTTCCAGATTAGAAGGAAACTGCTGCAAAGGAAATCATGGAATTTTGTCTGTCAGCCATGGCCTTTTCACAGAACATAAATTGGGCCCTTGGGAGTCATTTGTCACAGGGGTTTCCCTAATGTGGGTCACACCTTTCTGCTTCCTGATGGGGACCTGACCTCAGCAGCTCACCAGTGGCTGTGAGAAGGAAGGTTCTCCACTATAACCCCCTTTCCTTACGTTTATGTCCCTTTTCCTTAAATTTATGAAAAGCTGGTTAGTAGGAGTGCCCTGTTCAGCCAGATTCTTCTGCACAGAGCTTTGCTCGTTCAGTTGTAGACATTGGGTTTCATATCCTATTTCCTCATATTCTTTCCCCTTTGTAACTGGGTGACTTTCAGACAACACCACAAAAGGACAAATTGTACCCAGTCAGTATCCTGGGAAACTGAGCAAGGCCATCCTGGATCTTTCGACCCAATGAAGCTATGTGAGCTGACAGCCCCTGGAGAAGCTGTGATACCCAGCCAACCCACAGATTATAAAAACTAAGAACACAAGGCAGTAGATGGCCGCTGGGAATGGGGAGTCATTCTGCATCTGTGACATAGCCAATGGTAAGGTGCCCATGACCCAGTAAGTAATCCCACAGCCATGCTCACGCAAGCAACACTAATTAAACTCATTGGGGCCATAAAAAATTAAAATAAAAGGCATGAAAGTCCCAGGAGTGGATGGAACATGCACACAGAAGCGGAGGCAGGAGGATCTCTGTGAGATCTGAGATTGAGGCCGGCCTGGTCTACATAGCAAGTTTCAGGCCAGCTGGGGCTACAGGGAGACCTTGTCTCCAAAAAACAATACAAAACAAAACATGAAGGAAAGGGATTTGCTGGGAAAAAAGAAGGGTTCCATAGGGAGTGGGAGGGGGCTGAGAGGGGAATGGGGGTGTATAAAATACATCATACACACATATAAAATTGTCAAGGAATAAATTGAAAAAATAATTAAAATCCAAAGAAACAGTCCCTATGCCACCACTTTTTTGGGTAAGCTGCTCTGTAGCAAAAACTGAGTGGAACAGACAGGGATGGACATGTGGCCATCTGCCATGGAACAGGTTTGGCCATCTGAGGATCGGCACAGCAGCTAGCTCTCCAGTCTTGGTCCTCATGATTTTAGTCACCGGCATCCTCAGGCCTGACTCATCTGTGTTCAGGACTTCAACCCAAGATGTGATGGCTAATCTTCACTGTCGACTTGATAGGATTTATAATCACCATGGAAACAAGCCTCTGGGCATGTTTGTGAGGGATTTTCTAGATTGAGTTAATGAAGGTGAAAAGATGCACCCTAAATGTGGGCAGCACCATCCCAGGGGTTCTAGACTGCATAAAGAGGAAGGCAGCCAAGCACAAGTCTCTCTCTGCTTCTTTTTTTTTTTTTGTCTTTTTAAGACAGGGTCTTCCTGTAGCCCCAGCTGTCCTGGAACTCACTGTGGACAGTGTATCCAGCTACCTCAAACACCTGCAAGTGGTGCCTGCCCCCCCACCCCCACCTCCGACCCAGGTCTCAAACTGAATCAAAATAAACCTTCCCTTCCTTATGTTGCTTTTGTCAGATAATTGATCATAGAAGTAGCCAAAGGAAAACAAACAAGCAAACTCAAGTTAATCCAAAGAGATCCAATTCCAGAGCCTGCTGGAGCTGTGGGTAGAAACCTGGAGCCTAGGGTTGGGGGTTGGAGGGTGAGCAGTGGAAGAGGAAGCCTGCCCAAGGGAAAGGCAATGGAGAGGAGGGTGGAGCCCAAGATGATGCACATGGGAGTTCCTGATGACACAGCAGAGACCTCCAGTCTACAGGCTCCCAGGGAGGTCCCATATCAAGATGTTTTGCCACATGGCCAATAAATCTCTCTTCCAACCTCCCCCCTTTTAATTTTTCCTACAGTCAGCTTATCTTGGCTCTCTTTACCCCCAAGGGAGTCTTGGCTAATGTAAGACCTTTTCTAATTTCATCTTATCTCAGTAAAAAATGAAAAACACCAGGGACCATAACAGCAAACTGTTTTCACCAGAGGAGGGATAAACAACTGCCTCACATTACGGGCACAAAATGTCTTTCTCCAAACTTACCATTTTTATAAATCCATTAATCAGATGGGCCAGCATCCTTTTCTCGTCCTCGAGAGTGAGTGCACTAGAATTTGGAATGGTGCATAATTATCACAGAGACAATTGACAAGTCAGATTACTTTGCATTTTCTAGATGTCAGAAACTACCAACACGATGTATGGACGTATTAATCAAAAGGAGCACAATTCAAATGTACTTCTCTGCCTCAGAGACCTGTTGTCAAGCAAACCCAGCAACAGGAAGAGGACAGGGTAACCTTTTCTTTGGAATTTGAACAAGGTCTAATGTCAGATCTTGTATTTCAGAGAAATCGTGGCATTCTATTAATCTGAAACAATTGCTACCATATATCAAAGAACCTTCTAACAAGCACCCACAAGCCCCCATGAAGCCCCTACCACGATTATCTTCCAATACTTGTTTACCACGTGACTCCCTGTCCCCATCACCATCCACCCAGCCATCTTACTTTGAGATGCATTTTAAAACAGATCTCACGTATATCTGAGGGAGAATTTAACACAAACCTAAATTTTTAATCATTAGGTCTATTTTGATTTTACATACAAAATAGTTCCCCAAACTTATTTTTAAACCTTCTAAAATTTTGGACTGGTGGTAAAGCTCATTGGTAGAATGCTTGCCTAGCATGTGCAAGGCTCTGGGTTTAATCTCCAGGACCCCTCAAAAATTAAGAGCCCAGAAAAAACAGGAATGAAAGTTTTTGTTTGGCTTGCCACAAGGGAAAATAAGCTTGGGCAGGTCCTGTGTTGTCCTCTAATAGTCAATGGCCCCTTGGCCCATTTTGCTTTGTTTGGGTTTTTTTAGTATTTTGAGACAGGGTCTCATTATATAACCCAGGTGGCCTGAAATCATGATCCTGCTGCCTGAGTTTCCGGAGTACCACAGGTGTACACCACCACAACCCGTACCCCTTAGTTCTTTGGGATAACATTCCCCAGTCTTCTTCTAGGTGTGATGATGTGAACGTTGGCAATGTGTGACCCTTCCACTTACTGTCCCTCAGAGAAAGCTGTTGTTTCCCAAGGTAAGGGCTGTTGGACCATTGACATGGTTGAGGCAGGCCAGCCTCCAGCAGGAAGATGAAGACAGCATGGCTCAGGGCTGGTAAAACCCAGCAGTAGGAGCCTGGGTTCTTGGGTAAGGCACCTAAGAAGAGCTATGCTTCCCCACTGCAGGTCTCTTGAGCTACCAGTATCTTACAAATACAAGTTCCTTTGATCATTATTTCTATTTTTGCTCAATTACTGGGTCCATTTATTGTGAAAATGTATTACTATTATTATTCATATTATGAAGACAAGTTCTCATTATATACTCCAGGCTGGTCTTGAACTTTCAATTCTCCTGCCTCTGCCTCCCAAGTGCTAGGATTACTGGTGTATGCGACCATTACCTGGCAAGAATATAATATTGATAATATTTAGATTTCTATAACTCATGAATTTGAAAGCACAGTTGTAGAATAGTTTCTAAAATTAAGAGGACGTGAAAAAAAAGGGCAAGAAATACAATGCACTTTGTGAAGTTTGAGGTTCTAAAACAATTTTCTCAATTCTTAAAACATTTCCCAGTAATCAAGCTGCTACGCTAAAAATTCTTTGGGGACTAAAATAGCCACAAATAGCACACAGGATGGAAACATGAATAAAATAAATAAATAAAAAGCTAAAAGCAAAAGGGGGATAGTTCAGCCTCTGACCAAAAAGTAAGGCCTGTGGCTAGACCTGCACCTTCAGCCTCCTGTACACAGAAAGTCCTTCCTGTAAGAATGTAAGCAGTTTTCACTTGCATGTTAGATAACTGGCTGAGAGTGAGACAGATTAAGAGGCTGAGCTCTCTGAGGGAGCTCATGATTATACCATTGACTGCTTGTAGAAATCTCCAGGAAAGAGTCCGAGTCCAGTTGCACGAAACCAGCCTCGTTTTCCCAACTGAAATCGCTCTGTAAAAATAATTGCTATCTTCTTCTTTTGAAGGTCACCTGTGTGTGCACCTTGCTCCCTAGGACTTCAATGTTCTTGTCAAGAGGAATCTTTGTTTTGTCTTGTTGTTTTGTTTTATTGTTGGTTTGTGTATGTGTGTGTGCGTGTGTGTGTGTGTGTGTGTATGTGTGTGTGTGCATGTGTGTGTGTAAGTCTGTGTGTAAGTGTGTGTGTATGTGTGTGTGTATGTGTGTGTGTGCGAGAATTACAGGTGGTTGTGAGCCACCAGGTGGGTACTGGGAATGGAACCCAGGTCCTCTGCAACAAATTCTCTTAAGCACTGAGCCATCTCTCCAGCCATAATTAGCAGGAATCTTAACAGATCCGATCAAGCTGTGGGCAGTGGCGGCCATCATTCCCTAACATGGGTGCTGGGGGTCTGAACTCAGGTTGTCTTGAGCCTGCAGAGGCCAGAAGAGGGCACTGGATATCCTGGAACTGGAATTACAGGTGGTTGTGAGCCACCATGTGGGTACTGGGAATGGAACACAGGTCCTCTGCAACAAATTCTCTTAAGCACTGAGCCATCTCTCCAGCCACAATTAGCAGGAATCTTAACAGATCCGATCAAGCTGTGGGCAGTGGCGGCCATCATTCCCTAACGTACTAGTAACTCATATTTAAACCCCAGCCACATTCTGTGTTGGCTGTAAGAGCAGCTTACTTCACAGAGTCATGCATGGTCTTGCAAATGTGCATAAGGGCATTCAGGATGACAGGGTCCTTGGTGGGCTCCTGCTGATGCCTAGAAGACATTAAAAGACAACAGTGAAAGCTCCGTCCACAGCACCAAGAGAGCAGATTTACCTATTGTGGGCTATGTGTATTTGAGAACCCCAAATGATCTAGTTGGTACGTCACACGGGCAGTTCACCAGTAAGAGGCACTGATACGGCTTTCCTCTTATTCTTTAAGTAACAAGCGGCTCTCTTACACATGACTTCTAATAGCTACAAAATCAAAGACTGACATTGCCTGTGCCAGGCAAAGGGAAGGCCTGGCTCTTTGTTACGTTTAACACCTGAGCTACCTACAACCTGCATGGAAGTTAAGTGTCAAGCAAAAGGCTATAACAGCACAAACTCCAAATCAGTTTTCATGTAAGGTAGGTATATTTGTTCCAAATATACTAATGATAAATGGGTTAATAGTAATCTTTAGGAATGAATTTTTAAGATTGTATTATTATTATACATATATATGTGGATATGGGTGCAGGCATATCACCATATGTATGTGGAGGTCAGAGGACAACTTGGTGCACTCATTTTGCTCCTACTTTTATATGGGTTTTGGGGATCGGACTCAGGTCATCAGGAGTGCAGGACAGGTACCTCACCCACTGAGCCATCTCATTGGTTCAGGAATTAATCTTTTAGAAAGGCAGTAAGAAGGCCAGCAAGATGGCTCATCCAGCAAAGGTGTTTGCCACTAAGCCTGACAACCTGAGTTTAATCTCTGGAACCCACATAGACCCCTGTAAGATGTCATCTGACCTCCATATGCTCTCTGTGGCACATGCACACACACACACACACACACACACACACACACACACACACACACACACAAATATAGTACGAAACATTTTTTTAAATTTTTTATGTGTATGCATGTATTGCCTGCATGTAGGTAAGTTCACCCATGTCATTAGTACGAAACATTTTTTTTAATTTTTTATGTGTATGCGTGTATTGCCTGCATGTAGGTAAGCTCACCCATGTCATGCAATGCCCGCGGAGGTCAGAAAAAGCTGTCAGATCCCCTGGGACTGGAGTTACAGACAGTTGTTAGCTGTCATGTGGATGCTAGGATTGGGATTCGAACATTCAGTGTTTTTAACCGCTGAGCCATCTCTCCAGCCCCAGTAAGAAACTTTTAAAAAATTGAAAAGTTAACAAGTTACATATTTTAGAATAATCAAACTCAATAATATTCATGTACTTCATAAAGCTGTCAGGTCCCCTGGGACTGGAGTTACAGACAGTGGTTAGCTGTCATGTGGATGCTAGGATTGGGATTCGAACATTCAGTGTTTTTAACCGCTGAGCCATCTCTCCAGCCCCAGTAAGAAACTTTTAAAAAATTGAAAAGTTAACAAGTTACATATTTTAGAATAATCAAACTCAATAATATTCATGTACTTCATATTTAACGCAATTTTTTTTTTTTTGGTCTTTTTGAGAAAGGGTCTCCCTATAGCCCCAGCTGTCCTGGAACTCACTGTGTAGACCAGGCTGGCCTTGAACTCACAGAGATCTGCCTGCCTCTGCCTCCCAAGTGCTGGGATTAAAGGCGTGCACCACCACGCCCGGCACAATTTTTATTTTAAATGTAGCCTTGCCCTAAAAAAAGAACCCATACGAAATCAGAGATCAGCTTAGCTAGTTATATGTTGCTACTACATTCAAAATCAGTGTGTAACTTGAAGATAGATTTTTATTTGGTTCACAAACCACTTCATATGTTTCTCAAATATCCTCATATGTTTCCATGTTTTAAAATTGTTTTTTATTTGTTTTTATTTTATTTTATGTGTATGAGTATACTGCCTGCATGTAGATAGGTATACCTATGTCATGCAATGCCCATGGAGGTCAGAAGAGGGTGTCAGATCCCCTGGAACTGGAGTTATGGACGGTTGTTAGTTGCCATTCGGACCCAAGTCCTCTACAAGAGTAGCCAGTGCTCTTAACTGCTGAGTCATCTTTCTAGCCCCTCCACTTTTCTCTATATTACAAACACACACACACACACACACACACACACCTAATACAAAGGAAGACTTCTTCCAAAACTGCACTGGAATGGCATGGAGCTGCTAGACCGCCTCATGCCAATATCTGGTGACAGGTCTTCTGCCTCTTTTATATTTATTTATTTTATGGAGGCGGGTGTGTGCCACAGCATGCATGTTTAGGTCAGAGGACAACTTCTGGGAGGCAGTTCTCTCCTTCCACCATGTGGGTTCCAGGGATTGAACTCAGACCATCGGGCTTGATGGCAAGCAAATTTAACCTGCTGAGCCACCTTGAAAGTCAGCCTTCTGCCTTCTTAAGCACTAATCACCAACTATTATCATGATGGCCTTTTTTATTTTTTTTTTAAAATGAGACAGGCTCTTGCTACATAGCCCACGCTGGCCCTGAACTCACCACCCTTCTGCCTCAGCCTTCCAGTGCTGGGATTATTAGCCTGAACTATCGTGTCTGGCAGGACACCTGCTTTTAATGCAGTTCTCCTTGCAGTATTTTAGGGATGGGGCGGGGAGTGATCACTAGGCTTCAACGATCCACCAACACATTTCACAAGGGACCAGGGAGTCTGGACTTGTAGTCATGCTGTTTCAAACTCACTTGATAAAGGTCTCCATGATGTATTTGCAAACCTCCACCCGCACACTCTCTTTCTGGAACATGTCCAAAAATGGCAGAAATTTCTCCTAGAAATAAAGCATTTGACATGCAATTAACAAATTACTGAAAGGACAGAATTCATGGGTCCTTTTTTTTTTTGGAGGTCAAAAAAGCAGTAAGAATATTCGGGAGTTCATGAAAGACCTGGCTGGCAATTTTTTTTAAAACTATTACAGACTGAACATCTTTAATCCAAAATCTGAAATTGAAAGTGTTCTGAAATCTGAAATTTTTAGTGCCAACATGATACCCTAAGTTGAAAAATTCTACACTAACTGTTTCATGAAAATTTTTTCCCCAGCATTGGGAATGGAACCCAGGTCCTTGCGCATGCCAGGCAAGTGCTTGATCCATGAATTGTATCCTCAACCCCTTGTACAGCCGTATTAAAGACACTGTATAAAACTAACTCCCAGCTTGGTGGATAAGGTACATATGAAACATAAGTGAATTCTATCTTTGGATTGGAGGGTCCCAGTTCAAGGCATTTTATTATGTATATGTGAATAACCCAAAATTCAAGAACAAAACATGAAGTGTGAAACATTTCTTGCCCCAAGCATTTAACTTAGAGATGCTTAACTGTACCATGTAAAACCTGACGTGGAAGAGGCAATGAGGAGGAAGCAGTCCAACTGGACAGCACAATTTCAAAAACTGTGCCACACCCAGCAGGCCCACACATCCCACTGGCTAAGTAAGGGATGAAACATTTTTTTTTTTTTTTGGTCTTTTTGAGACAGGGTCTCCCTGTAGCCCCAGCTGTCCTGGAACTCACTATGTAGACCAGGCTGGCCTTGAACTCACAAAGATCTGCCTGCCTCTGCCTCCCAAGTGCTGGGATTAAAGGCATGCGCCACCATGCCCAGCTAGAAATGACATTTTAAAAAAATTTCTTTATTTTATGAATGTATTACCTGCATGTGTATAAGTGCACCCATGTCATGCAACGCCCATGGAAGTCAGAAGAGGGCATCGGATCCCCTGGAGCTGGAGTTATGGACAGTTGTTAGCTGCCATGTAGGTGCTGGGAACTGAACCTTGGGTCCTCTGCAAGAGCAGTCAGTGCTCTTAACTACTAAGCCATCTCTCTAGCCTCCAGAAATGACACTTTTCTTTCCGTTTATGTATCCTATATTTCAAAATGGGGCTCAAGTGGTTAGGACATAATCAGTTATCAAGCTGGTAAGACCTGCTGCTTTATGAAAGAAACCGAGTGCTTCTTTTGGCCAGGGCAGCATAAAAACATTACTACAGCATAGAACACAGATCTCCAAAGCAGTCAGGAAACATTACTTACCACTGAGAACAGAACTGAGAAATCATGGAAGTGGGCGATAACTTTCTTAATTATTGACTGAAGCTGCAGAACAAAACAAAAGAGCTCATTTAATAAAACCTCTGTTTTCAAAAGGCAGCCTCCTTCCTAACTTCCCATTACAACCACCATAGAATTGGCCTGGATTGCTCAAGGAAAGAGAAACAGGCTCAGGTAGGCCCTGCCAGTCTGGTTGCCCTTCTCCCTCTGCCCACCCATCTTCATAGACCTGGGAAAACTACTTTGCTTTGGCCTCAGCCTTCTCTGAAGATGGAGCTCAAGAGAGTGCCTGAGGATTAAATGGGACTACCCATGCGCCCAGGGATAACCTTGAACTTCTAATCCTTCCGCCTTTACCTCCCGAATACTAAGATTATAGGTGTGCAACACCATGCCTGGTTTATGGGGTGCTGGGGATCAAACCCAGGGTTTTTGTGCATGCTAGGCAAGCTCTACCAACCAAACTCCATCCCTGGCTCTCAAGTCAGCCTCTAATCTATAAAAGGCCCACAGTCCCACCCAGATACTCAAGCTACTACTGTAGCATGGAAGCAGCCAGAGCCAGCCTGTGAGCAAATCAGTGTGTGCCAATAAAATTTTATTCCCACAAACAGGTGACAGGCTACATGTGGTTATGGGCGACAGTCTGCTGCCCCCTATTATAGGCCACCATGGTCCTGTTTCTTCATTACTTCAGTGAGAGAAATAGGATGCAGTTTGGCAGTGGGTGAAAAGCCACTGCCTGACCTGAGGGTGGGGCAGCCTGTGAGGTCAGGCTCAGAAATGCCCTCATCCTGAGGTACGCATGGTCCTGACCAAAAAAGCTTGGCCTCGGAGCACCCAGAAGGTGCTGCTTCTAAATAAAAGGTAATTCCTAGCCTCTGGGTGCTATCCAGAACATTCTCAGGCAAACACTTTGCTTACACTAGGAACTGCTGCCCAAATCATCTGCACAGGAAACCCCTCGAGGGCTAAAACCACAGAATGAGAAGGTATATTATAAGCATTTTCAAATTATGCAGCTCACCAGGTCAGTCAAGAGAAGACTAAAAGAGGGCGTCAAACTTTATGACTTGGTATGCCTTACAGTCCCAGCTACTCAAAGGGGCTTGGGCAGGAAGACATGGGGTTCAAGACCAGCACAGGTAATACTGGGAGAGAGACACCCACCTCAAAACAACAAAACAAACCAAAACTGCATGCTGAGCAATGTTCAGAGCATTGTAAGACATGAAATACTGGCTGGGCGTGGTGGTGCACACCTTTAATCCCAGCACTCAGGAAGCAGAGGCAGGTGGATGTCTGTGAGTTCTAGGCCAGCCTGGCCTACAAAGTGAGTTCCAGGTCAGCTGGGGCTATAGGGAGACCCTGCCTCAGAAGAAGACATGGAATATTATTCTGTTAAAATTATTTCTGAAACAAAGAGAGATTAATCTCTTACAATAAAAACATGTATTAATGAAAATGCATATTGAAAGACTTGTACAACAGCGACTGACAATTTGGCTCCTCTCGTTGCACTCCCTCACGCACCCACCTAAAAATGGTAGAACCTACAAACACATAGTATGTGCCCCGTTTTAGAACTTTTATTTCGAAATCATTTCAAACTTGCAGAAAAACTCAAAGACTAGGAGAAAGAGTTTCTGTACTTTCTTTACCCAAGTTAACCAAATTTTAGGAATTTTGCCAAATGTACTTGCCATGGTTTGGATAAGTTTCCCTCAAAGGCCTTTGTGGGCCTTCCCAGGATGGTGCTACCAGGACGGGGTGGAGCCTTCAGGGGGCAGGGGCCTAGCAGAAAGCCCTAAGGTTGCTGGGGATTGTGGGATGCAATCTATTCCTATCTCTGTTCCTTGGCGAATGTAGTATACATTATGTTAGTAAATTGCCATGTGTTGTTTGAGCTCGCTGAGAAGCTCGCCTGGAAGCCAGACTGGTCAACCCCCTACCATTTCAGACCCAAGCATGTTTGTATCAAAGTGTCCTCCAAAGTCCCTGTCTGGGGATTGTGAGTTCCCGACTTGGTTTTGCTACCTACCCACCCACCTACCTCTGTTACTTATTTTTTCACTTCAGTCATTGAATGGCTTGCTGTATACTTAAGCAACTCATTCATTCAAAACTAAATCCATGGCTGTGCCCACCATTCTCTGGACTGTAAAGCAGTTGGGAATGTGACCGGTTCCAGTTTCATTCTACCACATACCACTCAGCATGGGCCCAAACCAGCAGGGTCAACGGATGATGGCTTGGAACCTTCTGTAAGACCTTTCCAAAGTTGATTATGTCATGTATTCATTGTGGTGACCAACGGCCAACAATGCCCTGTCATTTTATCCATGGAAGACATACTTTTTTTCTTAAACCATGAGAGTAGATACTATGAGCAATGTCCCTCAAGCCCGAATTCTTCATTTTGCATTTCCTGAGAATAACCTTACTCTCTGGCATTTCCACTTTACTGCTAACAAATCCAGTCAGTTTTATACTAATACAAAAATACTCTGTCACCCACAGTCCAGTCTCATCAACTGTCTAATTAAGACCTTCCTAGAATCATTTCTTTCTCTCTCCTGTGTGGATCTAGTCTGAGATCATGCAGTGCATTTTTTTTTTTTTGGTTTTGTTTTTCTTTCTTGGAATGTGAGCATGTGTGGTACATGTGTGTGATGCATAGATGGTGTGTGTACAGGTGTTCAGAGGCACACGTGCAGAGGCCAGAGGAGGATGTTGGGTATTTTTAATCTATCACTCTCCACCTTATTTCCTTGAGCCACGATCCTCTCACATAAGGCTGGTGGTTAACAAGCTCCAAGGATCTTCCTGGGTCTACCCCTCATGGTGCTGGGGTTATAGGCATGCACAGTCATGCCTGGCTTTTTATGTGGGTGCTCAGGATTTGAACTCAGGTCATTATTGTCTTGCATCTAGCACCCTTACTTAAGGAGCCATCCCCCAATTTCTTTTAACATTCAAGCTGGAGGCCAAGGAGAACCCCTTTAAGCTGCTCTTGTTCATTTCCCCAGTGTCTGATTACTTCCTTATTTTCTGGCAAACATTAAAAAAATATTGGGCCTATGAGATGGTTCATAGGATAAAGGTACTTGCTGTCAAGTCTGACAACCTGAGTCTGATCTCTGGGACCCACATGGTAGAAGGAGGGAAATCCGGCAAGCTGTCCTTTAATTTCTACATATCCACTTCCCACACATGAAAGAAATTAATAAATGTAATAAACATTTTTTTCTTTTTGAGACAGGGTTTCCCAGTAGCCCTAGCTGGCCTAGAATTTGCTATGTAGACTAGACTGGCCTCCATCTAACAGAGATTCTCCTGCCTCTGTCTCATGAGTGCTAGGACTAAAGGTGTGTGCTATCACACCTGGTGAATGAACTGTAATGAACATTCTTTTTAAATATTTTATTTATTATTTTATATGTATGAGTGTACTGCCTGCATATGTGTAACTGCACCTGTGTCATGCAATGGCCTCAGAGGTCGGAAGAGGGCATTGGATTCCCTGGAACTGGATTTACGGGTGGTTGCTATTCACCACATGGATGCTGGAAACTGAACCCGGGTCCTCTGCAAGAGCAGTCAGTGCTCCTAACCACTGGGCCATCTCTCCAGCCCTATGAACATTCTTTTTAAAATGCTCCATGTTTACTGTACTTTTTTGTTCCAGATCTGGGGTTAGCCATTTCTCTCCAGACCGCTGCAGTTTCCTTTTCTGATATGACCCTCCCTCCTTCAACAAAGGACACTGGCATAAATGGCTGACCTGAATGCAGCTTTATTTTTTGGTCTTTTTGAGACAGGGTCTCCCTGTAGCCCCAGCTGTCCTGGAACTCACTATATAGACCAGGCTGGCCTTGAACTCACAAAGACCTGCCTGCCTCTGCCTCCCAAGTGCTGGGATTAAAGGCGAGTGCTACCATACCTGGCCAAATTTTTTTTTTCACTTGTTAGTTCTTTTAATAATTTATTAGCCTCAAAAGGGTATGTAAGAGTATCAAGAATTACTGTAAAACATATGAGCCCAAACTGAATTGTTTATAGAAGCATCCAATGAGACTGAATGGCTGGGGAAAATGTCACAGTAAGTAAAGTGACAATTTTTATCAGACATCTCAGAACAAACGGGAATCCCCTTGACATGGTAGTAGTCTGCATTCTAGGCGTGGTAAACAGAAATCCTCTTAGGTGGTTGGTTTTCCTCACCTCTTTCCTTGCCAAGATCTAGGTTTCACTCAGTCATTTTGCAGAATGAGTGCTTGGTGAGCCTTCCCTTTCTGACCTCCAGCGCAATTGTGTGGACAGCTCTCTGTTAATACATACTGCTTTACCACACTACAGCCTTGATTTTCTGTTCGTGCTGACTAAATTTATGATATTGTTTCAGGTATTTTTGTCTTATCAGTTACTGAACATCCAATGCTCAGGATCTTTTCTAAGTTTCTTTTAGGTATGACAGAATTATGATATAGTATAACTTCCCCCTCTTGGAAGAGACTACTTTAAGATCAGTATATATGTATATATATTTGTGTTTGCTTGTTTGCTTTGAGACAGAGTCTCATGAAGCCCAGGCTGGCCTTGAACTTACTATGTAGGCAAGGAAGCCAGTGGCTGCTTAGTAACTGGTAATGATTGGTTGTTTTATTTATAAGCAAATGGTGAAAAATTCTTAAATTATTCTAATAAAATTTTCAAGTTTGGGCCAGGGTTATGACTAATGGCAGTGTTTGCCTAGAACTCATGAGGCCCTAGGTATTAACTCCAGCACTACCAAATGCATCTTTTTTTTCTAAAACTCTATCAGGGCTGGTGAGATGGCCCAGGCAAAGGCACTCACTGCCAAGCCTGATGACCCTTAAGCTTGATCCCTGTGAACCACATGGTAGAAGGAAAAGAACAGACTCCTATAAGTCACCCTCAGACCTGCTGTGCCACGTGTACCCACCCACCCAACTGTGCGAGTGCACGCGCACACACACACACACACACACACACACACATACACAACAATAATAAAAAAAAATTTTTAAGTTCATTTACTGGAAAGTACAGGCATCTTACACACTGTGGACAATGCTTATTCAGAATTTGCCATGTGTCACACAATAGTATCAGTATTTCTGTGTCACGTCCCAACCCCCCAAACAACTCTGAGGGGAGGACTACCATTTACCCCATTCTACAGGTGGCAAAACTGAAACCCACAGCTAGGATGTGGCAAAGCCAGCATTAAATACAGGATTTCCCCGCCTGTGCTCTGACTGGTGCAACAGGACTACTCCACTCAACAGAAAGATTCCCACAGAGTTGAAACAGGAAATATAAACCTGTTACCTGGGGGTAGGAGTCCTCAAATGCACGATCTGGAGTCATATGCTTGATGACATCAGCCAAAACAGTGTTCACCTCTCGTTTCTGCAAAGGGAATATAAACCAATGATACTGTCAGGCACAGAAGGGCATTCACAGGCCCTCTTCCAAGTGGAAAGGAATAACATATTCAAAATAAACGGCTGGGTGGGTAGCTCAGTGACAGAGCACTTGCATAGCACATGTAAGGCCCCAGGTTCCAGATTTAGCGCCATAAAACAGTCACACACCCTCCAAGAAGTAGTTTCAAAGATTCAGGAATAAAATACAGGGGAAGAAATGACACTCCACCCCCACCCCAGATCTAGTACCATATCCCTCAAGATGGCGATGTCACTCTAAGTCAGTACTAAACAGTGTTCTAGAAGGTTCTGGGGATTTAAACTGCCACTGCTATCCCTAAGTAGGGATAAAGTTATCCATCTTTCTGCTCACCTAACCCAGTTTCCTGCCTCAGTACCTGGAAAAGTGCATTGTGAAACAGCATTGTGGGAAGCGCAAAGGCTCACCCTTTACAAGCCATCTGCCCTAACTGCTCACATCTGTCATCTATGACAGAGGTCAGCCTTACAGCCCAAATCTAGCCTATTGTTACATGGCCAACAAGTGAAGAATGGTTTTCATATTCAATCCCCAAAGCAACAGTATTTCATGGCACCAAAAACTGAGATTCAAATTTCAGTATACACAGATAAGGTTTACTGGAACCCAGCCATGTTTACTCAAATATTGCCTGCTATAACAGAATACTATAAGCCAGGCAGTTTAAAAACAACAGAAGTTTCCTGTTCACAGTTCTGGAGGCTGGGAAGTCCCAGATCAAGGCACTGGGACTGGCACTGGATCAGACTCAGTGTCAGTGAAAGCTTACTCCTCACACTGGTGGAGGTGGTTAACAGGCCTTTAGGGTTTTGTTCTAAGGGCACCAATCCCATGGGCTCCAGTCTCATGATTCATCTTTCTAAATCACACCATCATCCTCAGGATAGTTAACAAGAAAGTAGGTATGACCTAGAACCAAAATGCCAGCCAGCTGTTGGGTACTGTCCTGCTAGGAGTGTGAGATATTGGCAGTGACCTATGCCACCACCTCTTACTACTGACACCTTAGGGAAGAGGCTACAGCATGAGAATCTAGGGGGGAAGTGGACACAAGCATCCAAACCAGAACACTACACTAACATTTCAAAGTTGCGTGCTCAGGACATGGCTCAGTGGGTGACATGCAAGCCTGGGAACTTGAGTTCGGATCCTTAGCACCCTCACAAAAAGCCAGGAGTGGCCATGTAGGCCTGTAGCTCTAGCACTGGGGAGAGGAAGGATTGCTGGCCACGAACCTAGTGAAAAACAGTGAGCTCCATATTCAGTGAGACACTCTGTCTCAAGGAAATAAGGTGGAGAGCAATAACTTCGGCCCACATATGCATGCATGCATACACACACACACACACACACACACACACACACACACAAAGTAGAGAGCTATAGAGGACACCAGACTTCTACACATGCATAAATATACACATATACGTGCACGCGTGTGCTCACACACACCCCAATAAAACAAGGTGGAGAGTGAAAAGAAGACACCAGACTTCTGCATACGCACACACACACACATAAATCAATCAAATAAGGTAGAAGGCAGGAGAGATGGTGTTCTAGTTTGTTCTTCACTTCTGTGACAAAATATTCTGACCAATACCAACTTGGGGAGGAAAGAGTTTATTTGTCTTACATCTCCAAGGTTGCAGTTCATCAGGCAGCCCAAGGTAGGAACTCAGGGCAGGAACCTGGAGGCAGGAGCTGGAGCACAGGCCATGGAGGAACACTGCTTACTGGCTTGCTCCCTTGGCCCCTGCTCAGCCTGCTTTCTTATGTCACACAGGCCCACCTGCCCAGGGGTGGCACCACCCACAGTGGGCTGGGCCCTCCCACATCACTCATCAAGAAAATGCCCCTCAGACATGGCCACAGGCCAGTCCAATAGAGGCAATTCCCCAATTGAGGCTCCCTCAACCCAGGTGTGTCAAGCTGACACTAAAGCTATCCAGCACAGAAGGGTCAGTGGTTACAAAGCTTGTTGCTATACCCTGAGGACCAGAGTTCAGATCCTAGCACGCACATCAGGCGGTTCACAAAGACCTGTAACTCCAGCTGTAGGGAATCTAACACTCTTCTGGCTTCTATGGGCATGCACATGCATGTGCACATACACTCATATAGGCAAACACACACAGAAATAGTAAAAAAATCTTTTTTATAAAAGAAAAACTAGTTCTAAAAACATAATGATGTTGACCTCTGGCCTCTGCACAGACACACACACATGCATATCTAAAAAATGTTTTTAAATAACTAAAACAAGTAATTCTGGTAAAAGGATCAGAAGAGTCCACTTCTACCTGCTTCTAAAGCCCTTACTCTTTGATGAGCCTAACACTCCCCCAAACAATAGTTTTACCAGGGAAAGAAGTATCCACGTGTGCCTGCGGGGGCGGGGGGGACAGGACAGGGGAACACGGGGACACAGGACACCACACACACATGACTCAATGACTCAATGCTTGGAAAAGCTAAATAACAGCATATAATAATAAAATAGAAAAAAGAAAAATGCTGCTTACTAGACTCTCATTGGAAAGTCACAAAGCATTTTAGCACTGAGCATTGAGGGTCCATTGGCATGTGAGGATGAGGCACACTTGCCAGGGATCACATGCTAATGCTTCTCACACATTGACTTTTAGGAACCAGGGGTGGTGCACGCCTTTGGTTCCAGCTACACAGCAAGCTGAGGCAGGAGGATCACTTGAGCCCAGGACTTTAAGACCAGCCTGGACAATACAATGAGATCCCAACTCAAAACAAAAACAAAAAGAGCAGGATGTGAATTTCTCAACTATGAGAACAATTAGCACTGGAAAATGCCTGAAAGGGCAGCCTCCACTGTAAACAGGAAAGCACAGAATTCTTCAGTCAATCCCATACATACCGTGAAATGCTTGCAGGTGTACTCCACCCACACCTCGGCACAGTTAATGTAGTCCTACAAAGAAAGAGTCAAAACGGCTTCACTGTAAGAACAGCACAGCTTAACTCGTGGCACAAGTTCACCACATACCAGTCCCTCAAGGCGCTGACAAAGGAGCAATACAGAAATTGACAGGCTACTGTCATGAATATGAAATGTCCTTCACAGGTTCACATGTGTGAACGCTTGGTCTCTGGGGCTAGTGGGGAAGTTATAGAAGCTTTGGCGGGGAGGCAGGAGCAATGGTTGACAGAGGTTGGACGCTGGAGGTGGGCCTTAGAGGGGTCTAGCTTGGGCTCTCTCTGCTTCCTGACCCACCAAAATGCAACAATTGAGCCACAAACCCTCACTGCTATGAACCTAGATCTCCCAGGCAACAGGCCTGTAACCCAGCCAGAGAGACTATCCTCTGAACCCTGAGCCAAAACAAACCTCTTTTCCTGCAAGCTGCTTCTGTCAGGTATCTGGTCAAAGTGGCCTAAAATTTAGCTTACTGACACATATTACCATGCAAAGCAAGTTACGAAAGGAAGCAGCCTGCCTGACTAGACTTCCATCCCGGCATTGCTCCTACAGCCAAGATGGACGTCTGGGGAGCTCTGCCACACTCGGAGAACCATGAGCTGGTGATGGGGGAGCCCTCGCTATACCTCAGCTGAAAAACTCATGGGGGCATCTGTCTAAAGGTTCAAGGTTTGCCTAAAATGTGATTTTCAAAAAGTAAATTTGGAGAAAAAATAAGCTTATTGCCTTAATAATAAAGCATCTGCTATATAGAGGGATAATAAATTCATCTTATAAAAGTTTAAGAGAACTAAATGGGCCAGAGAGATGGCTCAGTCTGTAAGAGCACTTTGGTGCAAGCGTGACATCCCGAGTTCGATTCCATGTAACCCATGTAAAAAGCTGGATGCAGTGATGCACATTTGTAATCTCAGCACGCCTATAGCAAGACGGGAGGCGGAGCCAGGCATGGTGGCACACATCTTTAATCCCAGCATTCAGGAGGTAGACGGGCAGATCTCTGTGAGTCTGAGGCTCGCCTGGTCTACACAGAGTTCCAGGCTAGGAAGGGCTACATAATGAGACCCTGTCTCAAAAAGAAAAGAAAAAAAGACATACTGCAGAGCCTGGAGAATCAGACCAAAGTTCACTGGCCAGTTAGCCTGGAGTATTCAGCACAGAAACAGGAGTGTGGAAGGACTGAACCACTCATGAGAGTTGTCCTCTGATCACACAAGTCATGACACCATGCACTTGCACTAACATACTCTACCGCCCCCCACCCCACGCCCACGTGCCCCCCAAACAGCCATGGCCACCATCACATACAACTGATACCAGCTGGTCTGTCATTCAAGGCTTCTGGGAACCCCCGGTCAAGGGCTGAAAATCCCCTCTGCCGTTCAACCTCAATCCTCAACTTTAAGAATCTCCTATTAGAGATAGATTAAAAATATATGCTAGACTATTGTACTCTGAATGCCCTTTGCACAGCCAGAAGTCTCTTAAAAGTTTTTAATACTGGTAATTGTATACTTTTAGTGCATTTTGAAGCCTCAAGAACAGGATGCAATTGGGACAGAAAAAAATCAATAAACAGCATCTTTAATGTTATTTGTTCCTCTCTATAAGCTAATAAATAATACAATGAAGATTTTTTTTTTTTTTTTTTTGGTTTTTATGGTCTTACTCTGTAACCCAGACTGGCCTCAAACTCACATACCTCCTGAGTGCTGAGATTGCAGGCACTTGTCACCTCTCCCAGCAAGAGAATCCTTTTCATAGGATACATGTGTAATATAGTCTTTGATAGTGACCTCTCTATGCCAACGAGATCCACCTGCCTCTGCCTCCCAAGTACTAGGATTAAAGGCATGCATGACCAAACCTGGCAAGATTTCTTTTTTTAATGAAAGTCTGATTAGTTGAAAGCTCATTTACTATTATTATTATTAGTTTTGAATTGGTTCTTTGGAGATAAGGTCTCCCTATGAGGGGCAGGTTGATCTTAAACCCTTGATCCTCCTGCCTCAACCTCTGAGTGTTGAGATTACAGATGTGGACTGTCATACCTGACTATGACCAAACCTGGCAAGATTTCTTTTTTTAATGAAAGTCTGATTAGTTGAAAGCTCATTTACTATTATTATTATTAGTTTTGAATTGGTTCTTTGGAGATAAGGTCTCCCTATGAGGGGCAGGTTGATCTTAAACCCTTGATCCTCCTGCCTCAACCTCTGAGTGTTGAGATTACAGATGTGGACTGTCATACCTGACTAAAAGTTCATTTTTAGAAAAACAAAGTATATACTGCATAACTTCTACAAAAACAATGGATCTCAGGTCTAAATGGCCACTCACCTGTGGATTCTTCAATTTAGTGATGACTTTCCAAGCTTCATTGAGAATCTGAAGTCGGTCATTCTCTGGAGGATCGGCCAAGGCCAAATTTAACCCCAGTGAACGAAAAAGAAGATGCTAAGAAAAATATCAAATGATTGTGTTACTGGAGATTTTAAGCCAAAATAACTTAGGCTTAAAAAAAAAAAAAAACAACAAAAGCCATGCTATTTAATCTGCCTCCGCCTCCAGGGAAACCCTCCAAAGACCTCGCTTTTTGAAGAATTCTGCAGATCTACCCAAGTGACTCAGAGAAACTCAAAGAGCTGGCTCCAGGGCCACCAGGGTAGCTCAGGGCTCAAGCACTTGCTTAGCATGGGTGAGAAAGTGAGGTCAAACCCCAGCAACACCCAAAAGAGAATTGGCTTGGAGTATTGCTCTAATTTGTAAGTCACAATTTACTGCTGGAGAAAGTGTCTCCCTGATGAGTAGGGGTGTGTGTGTGTGTGTGTAGAAACCAGAGGTCAACCTTGGGTGTTATTCCTCAGGAGCTGACCACCTTGTTTTTTGAGACAGGGTCTCTTACTGGGACCTGGGGCTCACCAATTAGGCTAGGCTGGCCAGTCAGTGAGTTCTGAGAATCTGTCTATACCTATTCCCTAAGCGTTGGAACTACAAGCAAACAGAAGCATGCCTGGCTTTTTATACGGAGTAAACTCAGGTCCTCACCTCATGCTTGTGTGACAAGCACCTTATTGACTGAGCTATCTCTGCGGCCTCAAAGTGTGTGTGTGTGTGTGTGTGTGTGTGTGTGTGTGTGTGTATGTGTATTTTTCTTTTAAAGACATGAAACGTTTTTCCTAAATGCCCCAGCGTGAGCTCATTCATGGATTCAGCATTCACAGGCCTCATGCACAGCAATTACATGGGGTTAAGGATCCCAATCTCAGCTCATCTTCCATCCGCTCTTTGGAAACAGAGCCCTCACCTATCTCCTGTCAGCCTGAGCTGCCCCCCCTACCCGCCCCACTGGACTCTCCCTCGAGAGCGATCAGTAGATACCCTTTGCCAGTTCTCTCACTGAACAAGAGCCTACCTTGGGGAAGCCAGACTCGTCGCACTCTTTAATCATGCCAATGAAGTCCATAGACCTGGCTGCGATGAACTCAGCTCTGAAAGCTGACATCACGGAGTTCAGCAGCAAAGCACTGCAAGACACAGAGGTCCAGTCAGCCAACTTCCTCAGAATCTAAGTCCTTTACTTACTTACTTACTTACTTTTGTTTATATATTATGCTAGTTTCTCTTAACTTGACCAAACTAGGGTCACCTGGGAAAAAAGGAACCTGAATTGAGGAATTTCTTCCATCAGACTGGCCTATGGCCATGTCTGTGAGGCATTTTTAAAATTGTTAGTTGATGTTGGAGGGCCCAGACCATTGTGGTGCTGTCATCACTGGGGAGATGGACTTAACGAGGGTACACCTAGGAAGCCAGGGGAAGCAAGCCAGTAAGCAGCATTCCTCCATGGTCTCTGCTAAGCCAGTCCCTGCTTTTGACTTCTCTCTATGAACAGTAACCTATAAGCCAAATAAACCCTTTCCTTCCCAAGTTAGTTTTGGTCCGTGTTTATCACAACAACAGAAAACAAACTAGGACATATACTGTGACCAGGTCTCTGTCGGTAGCCTAGGCTGGCCTCAAATTTGCTGTCTGCCTCTACCTCCCAAGTGCCAGGATTACAGGTTGGATTCCACACTGGACGTGCAAGTCGACTTAAGCTAGGACGCACACTGCCAAGAAGGATGGCTGACACTCTTTAATGGGAAGGTTAGAAAAAAAAGACAAAAACAGAGTAAAAGGCACTCTCTAGAGGCTAACACAGGACTTTGTGCAAACTTGGAATTTAATGTTTGAATTAACTAGATGGATGGATGAAACTATGGATGAACAAACAATAAAATGAACCAGCAGTGCAATCCATTTAAGTAGAAGTGAGCCTTCAAATAGGCTACGCACTAATAAAATCAAACATTCAACAACAAAATGGATCTACACTACAAATAAATACCTGTATCTTTTACACTTTTAAAAATAGTTTTTATTTATTATTCTTATTATTTTACATGTATGAGTGTACTGCCTGAATGTAAGTGCACCTGTGTCGTGTAATGCCCACCGAGTCAGAAGAGGGCATTGAACTTCCCTGGTGGTTGTTAACCACCATGTGGGTGCTGGGAATCGAACCTGGGTCCTCTGCAAAAGCAGCTGGTGCTCTTAAAACTCACTCAAGGCTGCACACACATCTACCACCGAGAGAAGAGCAGAAGGGAAACACAGGCGCCCAGGAGGCAGGAAGATCAAGTTCATCCTGGCCTCACCACCTTCACAGCCCAATGAAGAAAAGGCTATTATTATCATCCCCATTTTACAGAGGGAGAAACTGATGCACAGGGTAATCAGGTAAGTGACCCAAAGTCACAAAGTTAAGTCAGAATGGAGCTGAGGTCTGAGAATAGGCAAGTTGAATCCGCTGTTCTGAACCTCCACATCATCTATGAAGCCTCTCTGTCAGCTCGCACCCACGCAATGGTGGTAAGCTAAAAAACAAAACAAGTAACAGATGGGTGGGGAGATGGCTCAGTTGGTAAAGTGCCTATTACACAACCATGAGAACCTAAGTTCCGATCCCCAGCACCCAGCCAGGTATGGTGGTAACCATAACTGCACATCTGTAACCCAGTGCTGGGGAGGCAGAGCTAGTTGGTCAGTCAGTCTAGCTGAAATCAGTGAACTCCACATTCAGTGACAGACCCTGTCTCAAAAAACAAGATGGGAGCTGAAGAGATACCTCAGCGGTTAAGAGCACTACCTGGGTTTGGTTTCAGCACAGACATAACACTAGAAACCATCCATAACTCGAGCCCCAGGGGGATCCTGTTGTTCTCTTCTGGCCTCCGTGGACATTGAATGACATGGGCATACTTAGATGCAGGCAAAATACTCATACACATATAATAATAATAAATAAAAAAAAAAAAGGGGGAAGAGCAATAGAGGACACTTGATACTCACCTCTGGCCTCTGCATGCCCCTGTGGAGTACCTGGGCGCGCACGCGCGCACACACACACACACACACACACACACACACACACACGCGTGGCAACTGTTTCAGCTTCCAGCTTGTGCTTCATGAACCATAAAGTACTTACTTGTTGCCTAGTTTCTTACACCTTTCCATCATCTCAGTCAGCAGAGCCTAGGAAGTTTAATTAAAAAAAATAAGCATCAATGTGGGGGATCCAAAGCCACAGCTCCCAAAGATTTCCAAAGTGCTTCTCTAAAACATACCCTAAAACAAAAGTAGCCCATTTACACCATTTACGTAATGCAAATTCCCATACTCCTGGAGGGGTAAATGGATAAACAGTGGGACCTGGCATCAGGTGGGTTTGGGATCAGATTCAGCCTCCCTCAGCTGTGAGGCATGAATTCTGCTAAGCCGGGTCACCTCACACTGACAAAGAACACAGGTGTAGGCATCCCATCAGGGTAGGATCACTACAGAAAGACACACCTCTGGCTCCAGGGCATGAACAAGGATGGAGGGCTCTTAGGTCTCCACAGACATCTGTACTGTTTGTCAGGGGGCCTGTGACTTGCTTAATAATGCAATCAGCAAACACCAGGTCAGAGCTCAGTGCCTAGCAATCACAGAGACGCACTTTGCCTCCGTGGTCTCCCCTCTCCCACCCAGTGCTTTACTGTCCCATCTCACAGATTGGAAACTGAGCCTTAGTACAACAAGAGATATCAGCCCAGGTCACAGAGCCAGTGACCAGGGCCAGCCAGGGCCCTGACTGGGCCACACCAAAGACACAGGACCACTCTTCAACACACATCCTTTCTGAAAGTTCCAACCATATTTTTCTCCCTGATAGAGAAAAATGGTTTACTTGCTGGAACACTGCTAATGGCTTTGGAGCTATCTTAAGACAATTGTGTGCCTTCAAAGACGCTCCTTAAGAAACAAAGAAACAACAACAAAAAAAATCAATGCATGACGCAATCTTCAGGGTAGCAGTTTGGGGAAGGCTCTGAATGGTAAAGGCAAGGTCAAGCCTAAGACACCTGGCTAATAAGGTTAGTACGGAGACACTGAGCACTTGACTCGAGACTCAGCCCACCCCAGGTTTTAGAACGAGGGCTCCAACTTTCCTCTCGCTCACACTTCATCATAGGCCCACTGTACACCTGGGCTGAGCCAGACACATCAAGTCACTTCCTCAGAAGAGGTGGAAGTGGGGTGTGTGTTGAAATCTGGCCCTGAAGCCAAAGTAATACTCAGGGCAACTGGATGTTTTCTGGCTGCACCCTCTATGTCCCCAGTGCTGACAGCCAACTGCGGAAATTCTGATGGTGTCCCTACCCCTAGGATCTAGACCCAGTTCAGACTGTACTCTCTGCCCCACATAAATCAAACGGAGTCCTATTCTGAGTTAAATCACGTTTTTCCCCAAATTTACACATGGAAACCCTAAGTTCCGTGTGACAGCATGGGGAAACTGGGGGAGGTACTAAGCTTGACTAAGGTCATCAGGGTGAGACCCCATCCAAAAGCACTGGTGTCCTTATTAAAGAAGGAAGACAGCAGGAAGGCATGTGCACAAAGAGGAGGCGGTGAGGACCTAGGAGACCAGGCCTGCAGGCACCTTGATTGGCCTTTCAGCCTCCAAAACTGAGACAGTACATGCCCATTGCTTGGGCTTCACATGTGCACAGAAAAGAGATACCTTGGCCTACTACTTTTTGGTTTAAAATATTTATTTATTTATTATTTATTTTTATGTGTATGAGTGTTTTATTTGCATGTCTGTAAGTGCACCCATGTCATACAATGCCTGTGGAGGTCGGAAAAGGGCATTGAATCCCCTGGAACCAGAGTTTTGGACGGCTGTTAGCCACCATGTGGGTCCTGGGAACAGAACCTGGGTCCTCTGCGAGGGCAGTCAGTGACTGCTCTTAACCACGGAGCCATCTCTCCAGCCCCCACTTTTTGTTTTTTGAGACAGTCTCATTGTGCAGCCCAGTCTGACTTGGAACTTGCTATACAACCTAGGCTGGCCTCCAACTCACAATCTCCCTAACTCAGCCTCTGCAGTGCTGGGATTACAGGTGTGTGTCACCATGCCTGAATTGCCCAGCATTTCTGAAAAGCTGAACTGGGAAAAATGCCTATGTATAGGCAAAAGAGTCCGTTATTAAGACAAAGCGTATGCTTAGAAAGTATCATTTGGGGCTGGGGAGACAGACGGCTCAATCAGCAAAGTGCCCACTGCATGAGCATCATAAGGACCAAGACTGGATCCCCAGGAACCACGTAAAAGCCGAGCATGGTGATACATGCCTGTAACCTCAGAACTGAGGGCTGGGGAATACAGACAGGTGGATCCCTGAAGCTCGCTGGCCTAGCTGAATCGCTGAGCTTCACATTTAATTAGAGACCCTGTCTCAAAAGCATAAAGGTGGCAGGCTGGCCAGATGGCTCAGCAGGTAAAGGCACTGGCTGCACATGCCTGCAGACCTGAGTTCAATCCCCAGAACCCATGTAAATGTAGAAAGAGAGACACCAACTCCACGTGGTTGTCCTCTGACCTCCACATGTACACTGTGGCACATGCACCCCCCCCACACACACAAACACACAACAATAAACAAATTTTAAAACAAATAAAGGTGAAGAATAACAGAAGAGAAATACCCAACATTGCCCTCTGGCCTCCACATTCATGTGTTAAAATGCATTTGAGAACATAGGAAAAAGGCTCTGTTGACAAACAACAAAGGAACCTCCATGAGTGTCCAGAGAGACAAGTGCTACGTGTCAGGCGGGTCTGCTAGGAGTAAATTTTATTCAATTCATTGTTTCCTAAGAAGTGATAGGGTTATCTTTAGCAAGAACAAGAGGAACAACAGTTCAATGCCAGCTGAGCTTGAAACAAGCCTCTGAAGGTGCTAAATCATTGAAAAGTTCATAGTCAATGTATTTGGACTTTCCGCACAGCATGACGTGTAAGGCAAGATGGATGTGCACGTCAGTCTTCATTTAGGATCCTGTCTTTGCTCTTGCTCCAACATTTCATTCATTTATGTAACACTGCATTATTTTTATAAAAACTATAAAAAGAAATGGACATACATAAAAGTTCTAACAATACTGATATGCATCTGGAAAGATGTGAATCCTCCTTTGTAATGACCAACACTGTTAACATTTGGTGCTCATCTTTCTAGAACTTTGCCTTTGCCCCAGAAATATATAGCTACTATTGCAGAAACCTGCTTTTGGTTTTTATTTTGTTTCTACAGATAATCTTGTACATACTGGACTGCAAATTACCTTGTCTCCTCAAGAGTCAAGGACGGCTCTCCCTTCTTCAAAGTCAACACACACAAATCAACCTCTATTTTCTGTTAGTTTAATTTTATTTTTAAAAATACTTTATTATTTTCATTGTATATGTATGAGTGTTTTGCCTGTATGCATGTAAGTGTACCACGTATGTGCAATGCCTCACAGAGGCCTGAAGAGGGTGTCAGAGCCCCTGGAAGTGGAGTTATGGATAGCACATGTGGGTGCTGGGAATTGAACCCAGGTCTTCTGGAAGAACAGCAAGTGTTCTTCACTGAGCCATCTCTCTAGTCCTTTTATTTTTAAATTTTATTTATTAATATTCTATGTGTGTGAGTGATTTGCCTGCATGTATGTCGGACGCTCCTACAGGTACGGCACAGGGGGAGAGGCCAGGACTAGTCTGGGTTCCTCTCTTGGGGGCTGAGCGGGATGGTGAGTGTCGTGTCGGCAACTCAAAAACCACAATGAGTCGGGAGTCTTGTCGAGGCAGGAACTCACTTTATTGTGTCAGGCATCAACGTATATAGTTTAAGCAAAGGGGGTGTAGAAAAGGGGGTGGGTATAGGAATGTGTCATCTGGGGCGAAGACTGTGGGCCACTGGGAATTTACCACGCCAATTGTTACTGGGCAGAGGCAATCTTAGATAGGGCTCTGCTGAGTCACCTCCACACAGAAGTTAGCTCCCATGTGGGTTCTGGGAACTGAGCTCGGGTCCTCTGCAAGAGCAGTACACACTCTTAACCACTGAGCTATCTCTCCAGTCCACATTTCTATTTGCAAAAGCAATATAAACTTGCACATAATCCAGACTGCTCAAAAATTTGTACTGGTGTTTTTAATAATCTTCTAATCACTATTTACAAATATTTTTTAAAGAAAAAGAACAAGGCGAGCCATATACCAGTAAGCCATCGTGTTCCTCCTGATCTTTCTTTCTTTTTCTTTTTTTGTTTTGTTTTGTTTTGTTTTGTTTTGTGTTGTTTTTGAGACAGGGTCGCCCTATAGCCCCAGCTGTCCTGGAACTCACTATGTAGACCAGGCTGGCCTTGAACTCACAGAGATCTGCCTGCCTCTGCCTCCTGCGTGCTGGGATTAAAGGCGTGCGCCACCATGCCTGGCCCCTCCTGATTATTCTAAATGAAGCAGAAAATAAAGGGCCAAACCAGAAAGTCATCTTACAAGCAAACTAATATCCTTTCCCCAAACCAAAGTTAGCAGGTCACGTCTCAAAAAAGACATTTCAATGTGAAAAACACAAAATTCTACACCTCAGGCATTTCTAAAAAGGAGACTTCCATTGTTCCTGTTATTTCTCTTGCATTGGGATTTTTCCTGATGAATAAATGTAACAGAACTGCAAACTGTAGGGAAACTGACAGTGACCCGATCCTGAGCTGAAGACTTATGATATTAGCCTAATCATGCTGCACTCTCACGTTTGTATGAGGGGGGCCCTATCTGTGTGTGGTGTATGTGCAAGTGCAGGGGGGATGCACACACATGTAGAGGCCAGAGGAGGCCATCAGGTATACTGCTCTATCACCCTTTGCCTTATTCCCTTGAGACGGGGTCTCTCACTTGAACCTGGACCTAGAGGCTGGAGCCAGTAAGTCCCAGTGATGCTTCTGTTTCTGCCCCCCAACTCCCACCAGCACTGGGGTTACAGGCACATGTATAGCCACAGTCAGCTTTTTATGTGGGTTCTGGGGATTTGAACTCATGCATTCTTAATGGTTGAGGCATCTCCCCATCTCCTAAACCCATGATAGACTTTTTTAATTATTATTATTATTATTATTATTACCATCATCATTATCATCATCATCATCATCACCATTGTGTGTGTGTGTGTATGATGTTTGTATGAAAGTGGACATGTACATGCCATAGCATGGTGGAGGTCAGAGGACAACTGTGTTGGGTTGGTTCTCTCTTTCCATCTTTCTTGGGTTCTGGGCACCACTCTTGGGTTATCAGGCTTGTGTGGCAAGTGCCTGTACCTGCTGAGCCATCTCACTGGCCCTGTACTTTTTTTCTGAGATGGTGGTTCTTGCTATGTAGCCTAGGCTGGTCTCAACCTCAAACTAGCTATGTAGCCCTGGCTGACCTCGAACTTATAGTGACTTAGCCTTAGCCTGAAAAGGTTGGGGATAAAAAGCACCTGCCCCCTGCCTGGCCTATGTTTTATAATAGTTAAGGAGCAATTTCCAGTAAGGTTACTGGAGTAACAGTCCCTTGTGTCAGTTTATGAGGGCCCTGAAGTCCCATCTCAACTGCAGCGGTCAATGGGAGACACCAGAAGGGATGGGTCTACAGTCAACTGTCAGTTTCAGGGTTAGTGCCGACACAGTCATACAGCTCTCTTCAGTTGTGTGATCTTTAAAAAGTTTCTAAACCACGGTTGCCTCAACTGTAAAATCAGGATGATAAGAACACACAGCCTTGAGAGTCTGGGAAGAATTTGGATAACCTAAGCACAGAGTCCCATCCAGAGATGGTGCAGGCTGAGTCTCAACAAAAAGGCCATGTGATAGGCTCAAAGCCTTCACTTCTCTATGACTCAGCCCTCTCCTCCGCTGTTCACTGTTCACATCCACAAGGTCACTGCCCTCCACACACCTCCAGAAATGACTGACTGATGGCCACAGAATGCGGGTCAGCAGGTGGGAGCAGGTACTATGAGGCTAAGGGACAGGAACGCTTCATAGATTAAACAGGAAAGTGGTAAGTGATTCTTAATTACAGAACAAAATCACACACACACACACACACACACACACACACACACAAACAAACACACACCCCTAGAGAGACAGACAGACAGACAGACAGACACTAGACAGGGAGGGAATGTTCCTAACATAATTTTAAAGACAACAGGATTTTGGGTATCTATTTTTCTTTCAATCTTTCTTTACTAAATTTTCTAACGATTCTGCATTTTCACCAATGCAGTTATCCATTCCTCCTCTTGCTTTTGCAGAGCCACCAACCGGCTCCTCCCTGTCTGATCCACCCAGGTATGCTTCTGCCGTGTGCCAGCTCTCAAAGTGCCATCTTCAGATCAGTTTCCTGACCAAAACGCCTCAAGAGCTCCCTGCTCTCCAGACAGTGGCTTCAGCCACCTTTGCAGCAGATCCAGCAAGATGGAGGCCACTCCCAGCTGGCTGGACTTCTCACTCTTCTCCAGTATCTCGGCCCTATCCAGGCAGGTGGCCTGCCTATTTGCACAAATCCCTCTTCTGTTTGCCCTCTGGCCTTCAAGCTGGCTCAGATCCCCATTTGCTTGTGTGGCTTGTCAGGACCAACCAAGAGAATGGATGCCACACATATATCATAATCCCCAACAAAAAGTGTTTAGAGGAAGGTTCATTTAGGCCCATTTTACAGTTGGTAAAACCAAGGCACAGAGAAGTGGCCCAAGGCAAAACAGGTCTTCCGCCCACCTGCCAGACCCAGCCCTGCTGCTGTGCTTTCTCCTCCTTCAGCTTCTGTGACCTGCACTGAGTGGCTCAGTCAGCAACCATTAGACTCCATATGAGACAAGAGTCACCACTGATATTGAGGCCAGGCCTTGTCCCCTTAACTCCCTCCCCCAAAATGAACAACAACACATGCTTCTCAAGGGATCCGTTTCCACCACCCACAGCAAGCAATGTAAGATGGCTGCCTTTTCTGTGCAGAATTTGCCTGAAATATGGTGGAGAACTCTTTTCTTACTATAATTTCATTTTTAGTTGTAGGAGAGAGGGAAAAAATATCCTACCTTCAAACAAAAACAGAAAAAGCCCTTTTAGACAATTACTTTTTGCTTAGATTTCAATTACTGAAGTTTAATTTCAATTATTATTATTATTACTACTATTGTTTGTGACACAGGCCTCATAGGTAGTCCAGGCTAGCCTCTGACTTACTTCCCAAATGCTGGGATTATGGGCCTGCCAAACCACATCTGACTGTGGATTTTAATGTCAATTTTCACCTTTATACATCAGATATTCATAGCTAAAGATACCTTTCCCCTCCCTCACACCACCCACACTGTATAACACCAGTCGCTGGGGCCAGACTTCTCAGATTCCTACATGCAGCTGTAGTCCCCCCTCAATGTATCCCAGCTATCCAGGAGTTTTTAGCACCAACCTGGCACATGAATCTTCAGCACCACCTTCCATCCTGACATTAATTTTGCTGCATTTGAGAACGACTAATTTTTTTTTTAATAAGACAATGAGTCTCTCATGTAAGTCCCCAAGAACTGGGTTTATTATTATTCAGGTGACCTAATTTTTTAATCACTTCTCCTACTGTAGTGATGATTTCCTAGAGCAGTATTCCCCGAGAAAGTTCTATTCCCAGGCTCTGCCTCCTGTGAGACTCCCAAAGCTTCAAATAAAAGCAAGGATGCCTTTCGACATGCACCACAGGCTTTCCACCTGATTTCGCCCCTCATTAAAATAAGGGGAAAAGCACTCCCATTTTCAACACCTTAATCCTGCTTGTAGGAGTATTTGAATAGTTCAGAGGAAGGGGGAGAGGGGCACCTTCTCCTAGGAGGGGAAATATGGTTGCCAGCTGTGCTGAAGACCACAGACAACAGGTAGCAATTCAAACAATCTTCCCTTATTCCAACCTGATTTGAAATCAGCTTGCTTAATGGTTAAAAAAAATTTTTTCACCTAAAATATAAGAAGTCTTTGTTTTCTCCTTCCTACTTTAGATTTTGAAAAACAGTAAAAATGTACGCAGAGCAAAGAAAACAGACTGGCAAAGAAAATGCAGTTACGATGGCCCCAAAGCTAGCCAAGTATGGCAGCACTCAATGTAATCCCAGAACTCAGGAGGCCGAGACAGGAGAATCACTGGTAGCTACCAGTCTGGGCTACAAAGCAAGACCCTGTCTCAGCACACTCAGTACGGTGAAGCACTGTCCTGTCAATGCCACCAACAAACCACAGGATGGGAATTTTCAGAACTGCTCTCATTTTACAGCTGAAGACACAGTACTTGGAGTGACTAGGGTCAAGTCAGTCAGACTCAGTTATCCCATGACATGGTCACAGAGCTGAGAGGTAGACTCCGGAACCCCAACTCCAAAGCCCTCACCCGAACACTGGGCTACCCTGTGGCTTATGACTCACACAGCCAATGTACCATGAACAGCCTTATACAAAAATAGACAGGTGCACGTGGGTAGTAGTCCTTTCAACTGACACCACAGCCTTCCACTGAACACACATACCAGACTCGAGCCAGTTCCCTGTTGGTTACTTCCAATTCTGCACATGTACATATGTTTTCATGCATACATGCTCATCTGCGTATTTCTCCAGCACCAATCCTTGAGAGTAGACTGCTTGTTAGAGGCCTGACCTTTTTGTTCTGAAGGGCTTTCTATGTGTTGGCAACACAGGAAGTGGGCACCTGTCTCTGAGCTGCTTTGCTCTATTTCTGTTTACAGCAAGTTGTCCTTTTCCTTTCAACCAGCAAAGGGAAGGCAAGAAGAGCTGCACCTATAGAGTTATCATGACAACATGCACTGGGAATCCTAGGGAAGGAAAAAAAATTGTATTTCCGGTATACCAGTTTAATTCCTGACAATGCATTAAACAGAAGGAGAAAGAGGAGGAGGAGGAGG